ATCCAGCTTGGAACAGAATACTTGACATTGCCATTATAGTAGGACAGAACAAGCGCAAAACTCATCATCATGTTCACAAACTCATAAGGAACCAAAGGGAACTGCTTATATTTTCGGCGATGTAGGAAGCAGATCAAAAGTATGAAATCGGCAAAATGTCGTATAAGGAACATGAGCAGCAAGATTGTGACTTAAATGATAAAATGTTNATCATGAACGACGGTCCTGGTGACAGCGTAAAATTCATTTTGGTGTGGTAGTGTCTAATCGGAAGATAAACGCGAATACAAATAAGTCCGCAATCCTTATCTCGTTACCTTGATCTACACCTGAGCATGCATACATGCGAATATTGCTTCAGTCACAATCAAAGGTAGAACGTTTGCTGAATTTATCATCTTGCGCCATAAGTATGTTATCAAAACAGGTATTCGTGTTGCCGTAAGAAGACGAGTTGGAATTTCGCATTTTGGGGGCACACTTTGCATTGTATTGTCACTTCAAATGAAAATACAATGGGAAGATCACCAATTCTCGTCGTAACAAACCGTTGCTTCCATAATATAATTCATAATGAAAATTGAATGCCGTGGATACAAACATAGCATCACATTTAAGGATATCCAAGTATCCCCGAATCTGCTTCTGTCGAATAACTTGCGGTCATCCTCACTCATAACTTGTCCTGATCTCCTCATATCATTATTGATTTCATCAGAGTTCCAATAATGCTTGTTTTGCGCAAAAACAGTTAAGAATCTGAAGGTCTGAAATAATCCCGTTCCAAAGTTTGTGCTTTCCTGCTTTATTCCACACCAGTTATGCTGCTCCCTGATATTCATTTTGATTTATTAACATTCATTGTGATAAAGGGAACCCTCAAACGTTCTTTCCGTAACAACAGGATGAAAAAAGCTTTTGGCTAATTTATTATTCCGACCTTCGTGTCACCTTCACGTTCTAACGCCATTATTGTTTTATTAATAATACTGTCTATTTTGCACATGTGCGGTTGAGAGCCTGAGCGTCTCACATAATTTTGTGATTTCGTGCATCCTTCTACACGAGTTATACTGCGCACCGATATTTATTTCGATAATCAGCTACCTTTATCTTTTTTTCCTTAACAATGGAATGGATATAATGCCTCGGCTGATTTTTTATTTCGACGCTTGTGATACCTTCATTGACCGGATAACACGGGATCAGGGTTATCGACTACATACTAAATCATGAAAACGGATTCGAATCCCCGAATGAGCTCCAAATTCCATCTCACTCATGAGTTTTTGTTTACACATAGAAACAGTGAAATCCCATAAATTCCTTGACTTTTGGCTCCCGTTAGATGGCTGTTACTTAATTGGGTGAGGGATTCTTGTAAGAACTTATTTCTTGCTTGACTGCTATAAGGAGTTTGTTTTCTATTACTTTGGGTTGCTAGCGAAATTCTGCGCATCCCTCATTCAATTTTGTGAAATACTGCGAGTCCAACATTCGATATGTTTTTTCAACCCCCGTCTGACAACCGTCAGACAATTGAAATAAATGCCTCATTTGACGCTTGTTACAACTCAAGCGAAACAATGATTGGGTTTTGGTGGTTATGTGTGATTGTGCGATTGAAATTACGCAGACTCAACCTATTCTGTACTCTGTTCAAAACCCATCAACTCGTGTGGGTTCTTAACGCCCTCCTAGTTTAGTCACCTTTGCACGCCGGATCGGGAACACGTTCCTCTCGCCTGACCAGTTTGCACTTTTCCGAATCCTCGCTATGGTGACCCAAGCACCGAACATAGCAATTTTCGCAACAACTGTAGCAACCCGTTCTTCGTCCAGCCTATTGTCCTAATACAATAATCCCATCCCACAATGAACATCTATCGTTTTAACTGTGTTCACTCATTCAGTGTCAGATCTGAACAAAGTTCGGGTATCGAAAAATCGATGCGCAATGTGATATGTGCTGTATAAGTTGTGATTTTGAAAACACAGCGATGTCGGTTTAGGTGGAAATAATCCGACGTTACGGCTACCATGGATATTTTATGGCTTACCAAAAGAGCAAAAACCCAACATACCCTATCGACCAATTGTGGACTATACTGTATGTGCAAAATACAGCTTATTCGATTATCTCAGCAGTCTTTTAAAACCCTAACAAAAAAGTTTGGTGAATCAAGTCATTGATGCTTTCCATTTTGCCAGCATTCAACTGACTACTAAACTACAGACCGATTAAGTAGTTGTTAGTTTTGTTGTGGTATCCTTGTNAGTTTTGTTGTGGTATCCTTGTACACGACTGTTTCCATTAGAAAAACGTCAGATGTTACATTCCATGTTGATCTGTGACGCATCTTTAACATAAAGTTGTTTATTAACCCCACATTAAATCACTAATGGTGTAGAACTACGCCTCATTTCCACATATTTTACGTTGAAATACATTGTACAAACACACCGATGGTGTTGCGATGGGTGATTCTATATCCCCAATTGTCGCCAATCTCTTTGTGCACTCTACAGAATCAAAAGCCCCCATGGCATTTAGGAACATATACGTCGATAATTCTTTCGTAGTCATCGGATCAAACGACAGATTTCCTTGATTGTCTAGATAATCATTGTGACTCGATAAGATTCATGACGGGATCAGAGGATTCAGAGAGAGTCAAAAACCTTCAAGATTTTCGCGTGAGAATTAGGGACTCTTATGAATTTCAAACAACCATCCATAGAAAACCAAGCCACTCAGACAGATTTTTGAATTTTAATTCTGCTCATCCACACTGCATAAAACGTCCAATTATCTCGTCACCATCAAACAGATTTGAAAACCTCTGCAAAAACGAAATACGACGCTTAATCCGAGCACTCCAGTACAACAACTACCCACAGCGGTTTGTGCAACACGAGCTTACCAAACCTAAAACAACCACGGAAAACAAGGGTCCAACAGACTGACTGGCATCCACTGGTATACCCTACAGATCGGGGACCTCTGAGTCAATCAGATATATTCTCGGTAGTTAAAACATCCAGGTTTTCTTACGGATAGACAACATACTGCAACACAAGCTGTTCGAAGTCAAATATCCTATTCAGATGCACAACCGAAGCCCTTGCATTTAGAAGATCAGTTGCAAGGATTGCACAGTAGAATATTTTGGACAAACACGCTGACAGCTTAGAGTGAGAATCACCGAAATTCAAAGAAAAGAAAACTTGAGACGAACTAATGCCACGCAGCTCAACAAACTGTATTTTCTTCAGTCAGCCTATGTATGGCCGCAGCCCCCTTCCTGAAAGTTGACTGTACATTAGTACATTCAATAAGTAGAAAAAGGAAAAAAGATATTTTATTTTATTTTTTGAACGAAATTCGGCAATCACACTTCAGTACATTGCCGAGGGACACCGTATCGACTATGAAAACACGAAAATTCTCCAACGAGATACTCGGAAAAACACCGAACAAACACGTCGACGCCTTGGCAATTATTGGGTGTGAAAACCGAAACGAGGGGGCATGGGTTTCGAGCATCTGGACAGCGTTACCGTCACTTGTCAGCACTCGTCCCAACGCTGATTGGACCTCATAACCCCGATTCCACAGATAAATATTGCACAAACGGATGTGCTCAACGCCCGATCCGGATCGTTGACGTGCACACAGACACGGACAGACTGATACACAGACGCACACACACACAGTGCGTGAGCGTATAGTTGGAAAATTGTTTCTGACTAATTCGATTGTAAAATCGCCTTGATAAAGGTTATCTCAAATATATGTTCCATTTTATATATAATGGAGTGTTTCTTCCATTTTATGGCGGATTTCAATTTACGCAGATGTAGTGAAGATTGAACAAAGATTCAAGCATCAATGCAGCAGCTGTTTTGAGTTGAATGCTCCGTCGTAAATTCGAATTACATCGTCCGTGCACAAGCATATTGCTTGTTGCAGATAATCAAAAGGAACCTTTACTATATCCAGTCATACATGAATGGAATAGGTTCATCAGTAGTAACGTTTTTTGAGAGATAAGCTACCAGGTGATATCATGTCTATCCCCTGGCTATTTCTGAAAATTTCTCTTGTTGTTCAGTATGCTGTTTATCTTGCTGATGTGGTCGAACCTGCACTTTTATACGGCCTCGCAATCATAACGTAGCTTTCT